CCAGAAAAAAGCAGCACTAGCTATTTTGTTTGCAGACAATGTGAACTTCAAACCAAGAATGATCAAAAGAGATAAAGAAGGTCACTATATACTTGTTAGGGGAAAACTTTGAGAGGAGGAAGTAACAATCATAAATATGTATTCCCCAAATATGGGAACACCCAACTATATAAGACAAGTATTAATAGACATGGAAAATCAAATAAGAAATAACACAATTGTAATGGAGAAGCTTAGTATCCCATTGTCACAAATAGATCAACCAGACAAAAAACTCAACAAAGAAATATCAGAACCAAAGCAAACTTGTGAACAAATGGACTTAGTAGATGTTTCCAGAATATCCCACCCAACAAAATCAGAATACACATTCTTCTAAGTCACACACAGGAAATTCTCAAAAATAAACCATACACTAGCCCATGGATTATGCATGCTTAAGTAAGTACAAAAGAATTGAAATCATCCTATGTATATTATCCAACCATAGTGCAAAGAAATTTGAAATTAATGGCAAAAGAAACCCCCAAAACTCCATAAACACATTAAATGAAATAACAACCTCAGGAACAACCAATGGGTCACAGATGAAATTAAAAAAAATTAAACAATATCGACAATTAAATGAAAATGTGGATACAATATACCAGAACCTGTGGGACACAATGAAAGCAGTCCTAAGAGGGAAATTTATAGCAGTGAATTCTCACACAGGAAAGAAGAATGAGCAAAATAAACAATCTAATGCTGCACTTAAGTTTCTGGAAAAAGAAGAGCAAGACAAGCCCAATGCACACAAAGTGGAGGAAATTATAAAGATCAGAGCCAAAATTAATGCAATTAGGACTAACAAAACAATACAAAGAATTAATTATTCAAAGAGTTGGTTCTTTGAAAGGACAAAATTGATTAACCCTGAGACAAAAGTATCAGTAAAAGGAAGAAAAACTCAAATTCGTGCAATGAGGAATGAAAATGGTGAAATCACTACTCTTGTGGAAATTCAGAAGATCATGAATACATACTTTGAAAATCTTCACTCTCATAGGATGGAAAATAGAGGAAATGGACAGATTCCTAGAAAAGTATGAATTACCAAACTTCAATGAAGAAGATAAAAGATTCAGAATAACTCAGTATCAGTCAGTGAAATTAAAAATGTAATTAAAAACTTAGCAGTAAAATAAAGCTGAAATCCTAATGGATTCACCACTGAATCCTACAATAAATTTAGAGAAGATTTAATGCAAATACTCCACAAAATCTTTAGTGATATTGAAAAGGAAGCACTTCTCCCTAACTCAATCCTACAGGCAAGTATTTCCCTAATACAAAAACCATAGACCAACCAAAAAAGAGAACTACAGGCCAATCTTCCTAATGAATGTGAATGCAAAAACTCAATAAAAATCTAGTAAACACAGTGCAGCAGATCAAGAAGATTATACAACATGACCCAGGAATGCAGGGATGGTAAAATCACATGATCATTTCAATAGACGCAGAAAAAATGTTTGACAAAGTCCAACACACATTCACTATAAAAACTCTATGAAAAATCAGAATAAATGGTCTTTACCTCAGTCAGATAAAAGCCATCTATGACAAATCAACAGCCAACAACATACTTCATGGACAAAAACTGCAAGTTTTCAGTCTAAAATCAGGAACTAGACAAGGATGTCCACTCTCACCACTCCTATTCAATATAGTTCTCAAAACATTAACCAAAGCAATTAGACAAGAGAAAGAAATAAAAGGAATAAGGATAGGAAAGGAAGAAGGTCGATTGTCATTATTCATGGATTACTTCATACTCTGCATAGAAGACTTCAAAATTCCACTAAAAGATGTCTAGATTTAATGAAGAAAGTAAGTATCATAACTGGATACAAAGTCAACACTCAAAAATCAATAACATTCCTCTGCACAATGAACTCACTGAGAGGGAAATTAGGGAAACCACATCTTTCATAATAGCATCCAAAAATGGAATTCTTAAAAATTAATTGAACAAACAAAGGGGATCTCTATATTGAAAATTACAGTACTCTGAAAAAGAAGATAAAAGAGGGTAACAGAAAAAGGAAAGATACCCCTTCCTTGTGGATAGAAAGATCCAGAGAGAAAATGGCCATACTCTCAAATCTGTAATACAAAGTTAATGCAATCCCTATCAAAATACCATTAGCATACCTCACAGATTTAAAGACGCATTCCTGAAATTCATCTGGAACCAGAAGTGACCTAGAATAGCAAATGCAGTCCTGGGCAGTAAAGGCAAAGCAAAAGGCATCACAATCTCTGACTTGAAATTACACTACAAACCTCCTGTGATAAAATCAGCATGGTACTGGCAATAAAACAGACCTGACGATCAGTGGAACATAATAGAAGATGCAGACAGAACTGTAAACACACTCAGCCACCTTATTTTGACAAAGTGCCTAACATATTCATGGAAGAAATGGCCTTTTTAATAAACAGTGCTGGAAAACCTGGCTGTCTACATTGTGAAGACTAAAATTGGGCCCTATCACCACGCACTAAACCAAAGTCAAAATGGATCAAAGATCTAAATATTGAAACAGAAACACTGAATCTACTTGAAGAGAAAGTACCTAGAAATCTTGAAGATGTAGGTGTCATGAACAAAATTCAGACTGCCTGGGATATATTTCAAAGAATCAACTACTGGGATCTCATCCTATTAAAAACGTTTCCACAGCCAAATAAATCACTAACAAACTGAAGAGACCACCCACAGAGCCAGAAAAAGTTTGAGCCAATTGCCCCTCAGACAAAGGACTCTTATCTAGAACACATGCAGAATTGAAAAAAATCAGATCCCCCAAATTCTGAGACCCAATCCAAAAACAGGAATCTGAGATGAATACACACATTTAGATGAAAAAAATACAAGTGGCAAATAAAAATGTTCAGTGTCATTAGTTATTTCAGAGATGCAAATTAAAACAACACTGACATTCCATCACACCTCAGCAAGAATGTCTATCATCAAGAAATCAAACAATAACAAATACTGGTGGGGCTGCGGGGAAAAAGAAACATTTCTCCACTGTTGGCTGGAGTTTTGACTGGTAAAACCACTGTGGAAATCAGTGTGGACATTCCTCAAAAAACTAGCATTTTAGGTCCCATTTGACTCCACAGTTCCCCTTCTAAGTATCTTCCCAGAAGAATTAAAAATATCATACCACAACGATATATGTGTCCCCATGTTTATAACAGTACAATTTGTGCTAGCTAAATCTTGGAAACAACACTAGTGCCCCTCAACCAAGAAATGGATAAAACAGATGTGGTCTTCATATACAATACAGTACTACTCAGCAATAAAGAAGGATAAACTTGAGATGTTTATAGGTAAATGAATGCAACTCAAGACCATACTCAGAAGTAAAATAAATGAGACTCATATGTGTAAACATTGTATTATCTCCCTGGTGTGAGGAACTATTATGAAATGGGAAGAAATTGTTTAAAAGGTAAAAGGAACTAAAATGGTGAAAGGGGACAGTTCGGAAAAGGGAAAAAATGCAAGTCAGTTGTACCATTAGTGTCTCTTAGTTTACTAAAAGGGAAGCTTTGTGCTCATATCAATTGTAGAAAAATTTATGCCCATATCTTGTACCCTGAGCAACTACTTTAAAGATAATGACATGCAATGTATTAACTACTGTCATTCTCCTATTATTTCATTATGAAATTTTGTTTCACCTTTTTTTCCTATAAAATAAAAGAGATCTGTCTCCCTATTTTCTATTATTTATCTTTTATTTTAAATGGGCAATAATTCTCTTAATTTTATATTTAAGAAAGCTTTGACCAAAATAAATATAGTTACATAGTGATGTAGAGAACTACTACTGATCAACTGCTGTTTGTCCCTTTCCTGACAGTGGACCTGTCCAAGCCCCTCAACTTAAAGAGGAAGGTTGACATTGGCTCACAGCAGTCAGAGGGTTCAGTCCATGGTCAGCTGGCTCCAAGGCAGGAAGGGCCTGGTGGAAAGATCTAGGGGAAGAAAACTGCTCAGGTCACAGCAGCCAGGGAAACTGAGGGAGAAGCCAGGAGGAGAGACAGCCTCCTTGGCCATGCCCCCAGTGACCTCTCTGCTCACCGGACTCACCTTCCCACAGGACATTTAGTTCTGAACTCCTCAGCAGGTCAATCTACCGATGAGTGTGTCCTTCACTATTATCAGGCATCTCTGTGCTACGGTCAGCTCCCCAAAGCCTGCCTCTGAACTCCAGTCTTTTGGGGCATCCTAGATCAAGACCATAAC